GGGGGGGGGGGGCGGAGCCGCTGTGACAGAACTAAGGACGAGCAGTGAGGGGAGAGAGAGGCGCCGGCTGTCAGATCTTGGCCGAGCGTCTCTCTCTCTCTCTCCTCACCGCTCTTCATTAGTTCTGTTCTGTGACAGCGGCTCCGTCCTCCGCCCTCCCCCGCCGACGGTTCCTTCACTTCTTCTCGGAACCCCGCTGGGGAGAGCGGTGGGAGGAGAGGACATGGCGATCTACCAGTGATCGCTACGCGATCGACTGGTAGATCGCGATCGACCTTGTGGGCACCCCTGCTCTAACTGTTCCCCAATTGGCAAAAAACTAAAACAAAAGGTTTAACTGGAGTTCCTGTTTAATTTACTGTAGGTGTGTTTATTTCATGAAAAATATGGGAAAACCTTAAAGCCCAAGTCTAAGCATTTATTTATTTTAATGAAAGAGAGCCCCAGGCTGTGTTTAAAATAAAAAAGCATCTCTGGGTGCACAGGTCACTTCCTCCCTGGCACTGTTCACCACAGTAATCCACCACAAAATGTCGGTCTTATGAGTTTAATGACTCCCAGCACCATTCAACCCGGAAGAGGTTGAGAACATCCTGTCAGTGCAGAGAACTTTGGCCCCACCCCCGAGGAGTATTCACAGTGCCCTGCAGTTACAGTGTAATGATGCAGGAAGCAGAGTGCCCCTCTCTGCATTATTGGGGACTGCCCACTGCCAGGAGAAGCTTTTAAGGGGACCCTGCGCATCACATAAGCAGCCTGAAGACTTCAGAAATAGGTAGGTACAAAATGACATCTGAATTGGGCTTTCTACATACATGCATATCTCAAGTATGTGACAAGTGTTTGCCACTTTCCTTGGCTTGCTACTCTTGCCACAGCACAAGCTTTCCTATTAGGCCCCATTCACACGGGGCGTTCTGGGATTCACGTAGCAACAACCTATGGATTCTTGCGGCAGGAATCCCAGGTGTCCCCATGCAGTTGCAGTAGCTGTACCCATTCATGTAAATGACAGAGGACACATCTGTCAGCGGCAGTCCACATGTAATCATGCATGGGACCATTACATGGGGTTTGGGATAGATGATTGTCCCTGGAAGCAGGAAAAATGTGTCCAGTGATAATCATCTATCCCAAACTGCATTTAATAGTACCATGTACAATAACATGTGGACTGCCGCTGACAGATGTGGCCGATGTCACCCTGTCATTTACTTCAATGGGTACAGCGGCCGCATCTGAATGAGGACACCTGGGATTCCTGGCACAGAAATCTGTAGGTTCTTGCTGTATGTGTGATAGAGGTCTTCTAGTGAATGGAAGTTGCAGCACTGTCACTTTCTAACATGTAACATCTGGACTTGATAAAGGTGTTCAATGTAATTTCCTGACTCCTTCTCCTCCTGCTGACCTGGGGCACATTGGATTAAATATTTCAGTGTACAAACACCCACTGATTTCATCACTTAATGCCTAACTTTAGACAAAGGTTTTAAAGCAAATCTCCAGCGTTCTTAATAAATTGTAGTGTAAATAGAAGTTATGTGTTAAGAGGTGTGTTGCACTTTGAGTATGTGTGTCAGATTGTTTGTGTCCAGAGACACAAGTCCAAACCTGCATGGATGTACGCACTAGGAGCAGAATTTACCAGCGTGCAGCCGCAGCCTGTGATTGAAATGTACAGATGAGCTGCACTCTGGAGAAATGACTGTTTTTCTTACAGTACACGGACCTCTGAGCCCATGTGAATGAGCCCTAAATATTACAGTAACCACAAACATACTTGAGGTGGCAGACTGTGAGGAGAGGGGCTGCGTGATGGACAGGCTGTGAGGAGAGATGGCTGTGTGACTGACAAGCTGTGAGGAGAGGAGGCTGTGTGACGGACAGGCTGTGAGTAGAGGAGGCTGTGTGACAGACAGGATGTGAGGAGAGGGGCTGTATGATGGACAGGCTGTGAGGAGAGATGGCTGTGTGACAGACAGGCTGTAAGGAGAGGAGGCTGTGTGACGGACAGGCTGTGAGGAGAGGAGGCTGTGTGACGGACAGGCTGTGAGGAGAGGGGCTGTATGATCGACAGGCTGTGAGGAGAGATGGCTGTGTGACTGACAAGCTGTGAGGAAAGGAGGCTGTGTTTGACGGACAGGCTGTAAGGAGAGGAGGCTGTGTGACTGACCAGCTGTGAGGAGAGGAGGCTGTGTGACTGACAAGCTGTGAGGAGAGGAGGCTGTGTGGCTGACAAGCTGTGAGGAGAGGAGCTGTGTGATGGACAGGCTGTGAGGAGACGAGGCTGTGTGACAGGCAGGCTGTGGGTAGAGAAGGCTGTGTGACTGACAAGCTGTGAGGAGAGGAGGCTGTGTGGCTGACAAGCTGTGAGGAGAGGAGCTGTGTGATGGACAGGCTGTGAGGAGACGAGGCTGTGTGACCGACAGGCTGTGGGTAGAGAAGGCTGTGTGACAGACGGGCTGTGAGGAGAGGAGGCTGTGAGGAGAGGAAGCTGTGTGACGGACAGGCTGTGAGGAGAGAAGACTGTGTGACTGACAAGCTGTGAGGAGAGGAGGCTGTGTGACGGACAGGCTGTGAGGAGAGGGGACTGTGTGACTGACAAGCTGTGAGGAGAGGAGGCTGTGTGGCTGACAAGCTGTGAGGACAGGCATCAGGCTGGCAGCCATGAGCTTGGCCCCGAATGTGAATGTGATGAGGCAGGCGGCTCTGATCTATATGGACAGGAGCGGGGGGCTGGAGAAACTGATAGACGACTGCAGAAGATATGATGGTACATGACACTGTAGTAATGGAAGTCTATCACAGCCATTTATGACAGATTACACTTAGAATATTGTGTAAGGCACTTTCAGTTGTGGATTTCATTGCTCTGTACACACTGATTCGGTGATATTGTTGGTGAAGTAAATCTTAAACCTTCATTATTCCTTCATTTTGCATAGAGTGTGGAAGGGAAATAAACCCATCTAGGTTCCAATGCATTTATTGCCCTTCACTTCCTGTTCTGTACAGAAGAGGAAACCTCTCCAATGTGAGGGAAATTCTCCATTAATTGTCTTCAGATCAAATGTCCCCATTTAAAGATTCTTCTCTACTGCTGTCCTGGTGACAACACAAGCTTTGTTTCTCACTTTCAGTCCCAGTGACAACATTCACCAAAACAAATGCAGAGTCTCCCTAACGGGGACATTGACAGTAACATAAACCTAACAGACAATCTAACCCCTCACCACTCCATGCATGAGGGCCCGTACACACTTGCAAATAGGGCCGATGGCTTGAGTCTCACAAATCCGCGGATGGCCGCACGGTCACGGAGTTGCACATCACTGGCAGTGCCATTCTTTTCTAATGGCACCCCAGTTGCACGGTTTTTGCGTGTCGCAAAAAGAGGTACATCCACACAGCAATTGCTGTGTGGATACAACGCCATTGAAATCAATAGGGCCGCAGGGCAAATGCTGTGTGCAGTCCTGGGACGCGCGTCCTGGGATTGCTGATATGTGAACCAAGCCTTATGCGATCGGCTCCATTTGGTAGTGTGCACAGGGGCTAAGGCCCCATTCACACCTAGGCATATTGTAATATGCGCATCTGTCGCGCGACCGTCACGCGTTTTTTTTACCGCGATTCGCGGTAAAAAAGTTGCGCGACCGTCGCACGATTCCAAAGGCTACTTGGCTGTATCCCAATGGAAAACGCCCTACAAAACGGCCCAAAGTAGTCCCGGGACCTTTTCAGGCGTGGGCCGTTTTGTAGGGCGTTAGGGACGGGCGGAAATATGCCTAGGTGGGAACGAGGGCATTGACTACAATGCAGTTTATATTTTTGACCGTTTTGTAGAGCGTTCGTCGAGCGTAGAACGCCCTACAAAACGGTCAGGTGTGAACGAGGCCTAAGTAACAAAAAAACTGAAAAAAGTTATGCTGTTTAAATACGGCACAAACAATTAAAAAAAAGCCGGTACATCATCCTAGGTAAAGTGCTAACAGTGCAGGAAACCCTTCTATGAATTGGATTTGATGGTATTTGAATGGTATTTATAAAACAAAACTGACAACAGGAGGGGAAAATTAGGAATATAAAGAAATCACAGAGGACAGTAACAAATCTAGAAGAAGCTGACAACAGGACATTTTGTGCCGGTGATCTTTTTCCTGTTCCTTGTTTTCCTGTTTCTTCTTCTGGAATGCTGATCACTTATACTGTAGCGGTTTCTGTGAGCTAAATAGCCAATTGCATGTTCTCCTCCAACTACAGGCATTTCCTCTCTTTCAGTTTGTCCTGGTTCTAGAAATATTCTCCTGTGCGGGATTCTTGTTGGTTTGGACGTTTAGATAAATGAGCGTTTCTGTCACCATGTCCTTTACAAAAAATGCTGACTAATGGAGGGCGGGGTGGTGTGGAGCCCTGTGGTGTCCTATGGAGTGCTCTCTACTTAACGCCTCGTTCACACAGACAGTAGAGATGGGAAGTTCGGATCTTTCAAATGAATCGGTTCATTTGGATCAGTTCATTCAAAAGAACTGATTCATGAATCGAATCTTCGGTTCACTGGTTGAGTCGGCTGACAAACCAGTGAACCGAAGCTCAGGAGCTGTCTGAACCTTCATAGAAGATTCGAATCAGAGGACTCTGATTCAGAGAAGGGTGTCAGGCAGCTCCTGGGGTACATTGATCCTAACGCTGTCAATAAATTTAAGTGAAACAATGTTAAGTGAAAAATAATAAAATAAATAAAAACTAAAACCAAAAATTGTTTATTTAAAAAAAATTATGTTTTTATTTTTTTGTAAATGTGTAAATATATATATATATATCTCCTTGAGAAGCCAATTTGATCCTAAAGGGTTAAACCATCAATCTGAATGAGGATCTCCTCAAATCTAAACTCTCTCTCTGTCCCTTATCACTTCTGCAACCTGCTAATTAAATGCAAACGGATCAGCTCACTCAGCTGAATCGACTCCACCAGTTCAGTGAATAGAATCGATTCAAAAGAACGATTCGTTCATGAACTGGACATCTCTAACAGACAGCCAGGGGTTGGTAAAAACAGGCGATAAATATGTATTTTTACCGCTCCCTGGCCGCCCGCCGACAAGTTAGTACTGTCTGTACACATTGCCTCACCCGTGATGCCGCAACAATTAGACGCCATATCGCTTTCAGCTGGTGGGGTCATCTGCCAAACGTGACCATTGATGTGAATGGGACTGCACCGCAACTGCATGTCAAACACTTGCCACTTGCATAGTAGTTCCATGTAAAATCCCCCATGGAATTTTACTGCATTTAGATGCCAGCTCACTGATACCATTACATACAGTGGCGTCCCCATAGTGAGGCAGCCTGAGGAGATAGCCTCAGATGGCGTGTCCTTGGGGGAAGGCAGGTGTGTGGGGGGAGGGGGTAGCACAGACAACTAACAGCACCACTTCCCCTCAGCCGCCCACCGCTTCCCACCCAGCTGACAATACGGCCGCCTGCCACCTCCTGCCCGGCTGACAGTTCGCCAAAACTATTGCTGCCCCCATCTCTTGGCTGCCTCAGCTAATAAGGTAGGGATGGTCCTGATTAAATACACTTAAGAGACCTTTTTTGTCTTTACTTTTGGGTCACTGGAGTGCATTTACTAATGTATTCTTGTGACCCAAAGTCAGCTAGAGCGGGCTACCGTCTAGTACAGGAAGGAGGTCTGATTGACAGCAGGCTCTGCCTCTCTAGAGCCAGAGCCAGCTGTGCCTGCCCCCTTCCCTGTCTGTCCCTCCAATGAGCACTGAAGGTATAGAGAGGTGGGGGTAATCCCTGCAAGGGACTGACATTCCCTGCTTTCTGCAGGAAGGAAGAAGGCTGTGAGCTGAGTGATCAGTGGTTACATGCTCTCGGTATAGAGCCAGTGTGTGATAGCTGCAGTGTCTCAGTGTTGGGAAGACTATACTTATTTTATTTTTTATATTTTACTCTCCCGATATAGTAAAATAGTAAACTCCCTGTTATCCGGCATCTATGGGGATTGGTGGATTCCAATAAATGTAGTTTCTGGTTGCTTGAGAATTACTATTAAAAATAGGGCTACTAATGCCATACCACATACTATACCATATCATAACATAAACTCTGTATGGACTTCATATTAATATTGAAATGCAGTTATCAGAAGCAAATTAGGACAAATAGACACACGATCGTTTCCCGGATAATACTTGCCGCAGAACAGTGAGTACACAGGGGATTTTTTTTCTGGTTAGATGAGAGTTCTGGTTAGTTGAATACCGGATAACCGAGGGTTTACTGTACTTATAATTTAAGAATTCCTAAAACACCTCCAGACATGCGTTTTGCCCAAAAATATATATTTTAGAAAAGTAGTTGTTTATTGGTTTAATTTATATATTTCATTTTGGGCAACCTGAAAAAAGTTTCTGTCCTCACCAGTATGATTTACAGGGCTTGAAAAATCAGCTCGTCCTCTAGTCTGTGACGAGAGGACCGCGGAGCCCAACGAGTAGCTTCCCGGCCGGCCGTCGTAATTACACGACCGGCCGGGAGCTTTACATGCAAGCAATTGGGCGTCTCTAGAGACGCCCGATCACTTGTGAAGGAGCAGCTGTCACTGCCGCTGCCGGCCCCGAGATCCGATGTGCCTGACCGGTCACAGCTGCTCTGTGACAGGAGATCAAAGGGGGATCGGTACATGATCTCCCTTTGATCTACTCTCAGTCCCAGAATGCAGGAAGTGATGTATATTGTCATATAAATTGGCTATCACAACTTCTTAGCCCCCTATGTGATAGCAATAAAGTTGTGTAAAAAAAAAGTAATACAAAAATTAAAGAAGCATAAAAAATGTAAAAGAAAAAAAAAATGTTTAATTCCCCCGCCTCCTACATACACACGCAGATATGCATCGGGTGCGCCTACGTGTGTTTTTTTGCGATTTTGCGGGTGCGTGCAATTTTAAGGCTTGACATGCTTGGGGTCTATTTACCCGTCTTTTATATTTAACAACAAATATGGGTAAGAATAGATGCTTTATAACATAACGTAGGGAAACTTTTTTTTTTACATTTACGGTACTTTTTTCATTATATAGTAAAAAATAAACCCCCCAGTGGTGATTAAATACCCCCAAAAGAAAGCTATTTGTCCCCAAAAAATTTTATCATAAATTGCAAGGCTATAATCCAGTCATGCTGACTGGTGACATTTTTGACTGACTGGTGAGACACCTTAACATTTTTCAAGCCCTGATGATGTAAAAGAATGGGGGCAAAAGAGACAAGCGTAGAGAGATGTCCCTTGTAATACAATCGCCCTGATGATGTATAAGAATGGGGGCAAAAGAGACAAGCGTAGAGAGATGTCCCTTGTAATACAATCGCCCTGATGATGTATAAGAATGGGGGCAAAAGAGACAAGCGTAGAGAGATGTCCCTTGTAATACAATCATGGAGAATGACTTCTTACTGCTAATTGCTGACACTCTCTTGCTCCTCTCTGCTGGATCATGAGGACATCTCAGTAGTGCAAAGATCAGAAACAATTGGAGTGAAGGATGTCAGGGATGCAGAGTGTCATGAAATAATATTACTGTTTAATAAGGAGATTGGCTGGATAGATCAGGGTCGCAAGTCACTGAAGATTGCCCCAGTGTATAGTAATCAGACTTCAGGTTTTCATTCAGTAACGTAATGAAGCCAAAACTTTCTTTTTAGTTTTGGATAGAGTGGAAGGGATAGAGGGATTAGAACACCTGTCAGGTTCTTATTACTGTCTGTGTCCCCGTTAGGGTGATTCACCCTTTTAGTCCTGGTGACCATTATCCCTGAAAGTGAAAGATAATCCCACATTTTGGATTATCACCAGAAGAGGAATAGATGAGAAATCTTCCAATGGGAACAATGGTTGTGGTGAGCCAGCTGGCCACCAGGGATTTCCCTCATCTTGGAAAGATTTTCTCTCAATTCCAGCTGTTGTTATGTTACAGGAAGTGAAGGGAAATCTCCCCGACGGGAAACTGAGAGCAAAAAAAAAGCTCACCAGGGTAATACTCCTCTGTTACTCTATCCGAAACTAAAAGAAAAGTGTTGGCTTCACTTTTTCTTTAAGAAAAGAACCCCATGAAATGTTTATTATAACAAACTGGAATGTTTCTTCTAAACAGCACAATGTATATTGAAAGGAATCATGACAAACGGCCTGTGAAGCAGGTTTGACCAGTCGCGTTATATATGAGTTAGTAAAGAATTTAGTTTTTATTCATTTTAAATATTATTTAAATGTAACCTTTAGGAATGGAAAGTACGCTGGTTTTCCATGGGAGGGCTCAGATTCTAAAATCTTATCAATCACATGTTCAATATAACAATATACTATTACGTTATAATGTTGTTTAGTGACAGCCTATATAAATGACTCAGGAGACCATTCAAGTTACACCTCAGGAGCTTAGTACACAGGGTGTCTGATGTATGTACATTTCAGGATTTCCTAAGCTGGCTCTAAGGAAGGCCCCTAATACAGTCCTAATACAAATCTCCGCAGCCTATAGAGAGGCTCCCGGCATTGCATTGAGGGATGAACTTTCATTACTCAGTTCCAACATTTCATTCCCCTGCAACACAATCACTCCAAGGCCACCATAACAATAACGCACTGTACACCAACTTTTACCTACGCCTGTGTTTCCTGAGCTTCATGTGGTGTTGTTATGGTGGTGTCATTGTGTTTTGTAGTTATTTATTATTCGGAAGGACTCATTGGCTAGTTCAAATGCTATTAAGCCGCCATATTCTGGATGGTAACATGAACAGTTGCTGCCATCTAGTGGGACAAAGTAATACTACAATGTTCTCGTCTTTTGGAAAGCCATTTCAGCATTTATATTCAGGATTAAATAACAAAATGTGCTGTAAGAATAGAGAAGCTGCCATTTTTGACTATTCATTGTGTAAATACAAGCTACTTGGTTGTCCTGAGGATTCAGTGGCTTTATTATTTCTGGGTCCCCAGCCAAAAACAAATGTGCAGATCAAGAGTTCAGACTCTATTCTGACTTCATTTGCTGCCTTCTTGTTTCAGGCCAGTGTCTCAGAAAGCATTAAAGCTGAATGCTCTGGTATGACTGCCAGATAACTGTCTTTTTTAGATGGTCAGCAATGGCAATCTTTGTATATTTCTAAACACCGGTTTTCTTTAGGTTACTTTTATATTATGTGCATTGTGGTAGTGTGCTGCAGGGTGGATGCATTGTCTGCTACTGTAAAAGTGTGTTGGGTTTCATTGTATTGCTGTAATGTACAGAACAAAACTGAGGACAAGTGCTAGAAGGATCCTTCTTGTTACAGGTTAAAAGGATTATCAGCATGCATTGTTGGCTTAAGACACAGAACAGCAGTGATTATCTCCTTTCAGGCTGACCATGTCTGATTGAAACCTGCATCCTTTATGGAAGTCATGGCTCAATCACTTGGGTGTCAAAAGTAACAAATTGGTAGAAATTTTTTTTTTTTTGTAGTTTACTTTCTGAAGGGTCGCTTATAGACATATGCCTTCAAAGAACAAACAGCAACCAATCACCCATCTTTTTTAGAGCAGTTTAAAATACTTAGATCAATGAAAGTCATTGCTTAAAAAGCTGCTTTCAGTAACTGCATACAGCGTCTCTTATAACCAAGCTACCAAAGTATTGTGCATTTTATACCCTTTTTTGTGATCAATTACTCTAAATATGTTTTATTATTAAATTACATTTGTGTGTATCCCAATAGAATCTACACACAGTTATGCAGTGTACCGGTTTGTAATCTCCATTAACCCTGTGGACATCACAGAACTCAACGCCACCCTTGGAAACTATATCCTGCATGAGCCACTGAGAGCTTCGCAGATCTTCCAGTCGGTATGGCTTGAATGTTTATTTGATATTATTTTATCATGTGATATTGTTTATACTCTGCTATACTCTGAAATGAATATATATATTTACTTATTTATTTGTCATAGGTATGTGATGCCACAATAAGAATCCTTTCCTTGATTGAACAATACCAGACCGAAGCACAGGTATGGAACCCACTGTGAAAATCCAAAGGGCGGTGATAATTCAGAAAATGTTCAGCATGGATTCATTGGAAACGGCTAAATCAATGTAGCTGCTGTATAACAAAGTTCAGCAGAGCAACTCCATATTGTGGGAGCTACTGAGCACACACTAAACATTTATTTAATGTGTGCGACCTATAGATGCCTACTGACTGTTTCTGCTGGATGTATGTTAGGCACAGCAGCTAGCTGTGATTGAGTAAAAATTACTTTACTCAGTTTTCATCAGTTTAATTTGTCCTTTTGAAAGTGGCGCTGCCAGCTAACTAAAAGTGCCATTAAATACTGTCCCTGTAAAGAAGAAAGTGAATACATTAGTTTCTTCAGAAACGGACACTCCTGGCAGAGTTTCTGACCCCCCTCTGTGCTGAGTGGTTCTTTCTACTGACATTGTAGGTACAAGACACAGCAGTGATGAAGGAACTGGAGTGAGGAACCACTAAGCTTAGTGGAGGACCAGGAGATCAACACTCTCAGAAGTAGGGCTACCCATAGGAGTCTACTGGAAGTCCTCCCGTACTTGGCCTGGCATATCATTGCTTAATGGTATACATAACTGGGGTTGTGGCAGAGGTGTGTCCATTTCCTAAATACATTGTGCCAGGAGAAGTCCCTCTTTCTCACCTCAGAAAGTTGGAAGTCATGATCTCCTGCCCAGTTTCAGTTCCAGCAGAGTGGCTGAAGCAGCAGCATGGAAGAGAAGTAGCCTCGGGGGGGCGGACACTGAGGTAAGTAAAACCACTCAAAACAGAACACTGCACAGATACAAAGCATACAAAGGCGCACTAAGGATCTTCTAATCTAAAAAAAAAGATGGTTCCTAATGTAGACATTTGTTTATATTTTGGGTGCTTTTCATTAGACTGCAGGCTACCTTTTTCTTGCATTTGCTTCCTAAATAGATTTGTGCCGTGCTCTTGAACTCTGATCTTTGGCTACCACTAGCAGTGCCTGTTTCCCAGTTTGCCTCAGAGGATGACAGGTGGAATACTTGGGGTGCTTCTAATGGAAACACCTTAACCGCAATTTATGGGAAACATTGGACTGTGCCATTAGGAGTAGCAGATCAGTGCCTGCATATTGCTCTCATACTGGAAATTGCAATTTGTCTGAAAAGGCTTTTTGTGAAAGTAATGGAGACTTTGCATGGATTGATTACTATGGGAGAGGTTTCATTTATGGCATTATACTTCTGACATCTGTGTTTCCTTTCTGCACATTGATTTGCATCATTTATATGTGCTTTTGCATAGGCATGCTGTGTGATGCTTATTTCCATGTAGAGTTGTTCCAGTGTATCTTTTGTTTTGGTCATATTAAGAAATCTTGTAGATTGCTATGACATAGTTTTGTTCTGCATTTTTCAGATAAATGTAGTCCTGAAATTAACGCATTTGCCTGAACTGCCTGGCTATCGCTTAAGCCTAAGCAACTTCCCCCTGGACTACAAGACCCAAAGACTTTATATGATGGAAGGAGCAGTAACTGCAATGTCTACAGTGACAAAGTACACTCAAGGAGCACAATTTCTCTGTTCAGAAGCAAAGTGCCCCTTTTCTCAAGGTACAAATGCACATATTAGTATCTTTGCTTAAAGAGCAACATTTAAAATACATGATTCCTTTAAAAAAAAATATGCTTGGGGATGCCCTAAACCTGCATGTAAAGTGGCACATGTGTATAATGTACTGACAAAAGTGACATTTTAGGGGGACCATAAAAATAAAAAAAAGTGGGGTCTCCCCCAAAATCCATGCCAGGCCATTATCCAGGCACGCAGACCAGCTGGCCAAGAAAGAGAGAGGCAGTGAGCAAAGGCTGTCCCCACTCTCCTGAACCATACCGCATGCCCTTAACATGGGGGGGAGTACCTTGCCAGGGGGCCAAGACCCTCAGCCTCATATCCCTGGCCCAGTGAATGTCGAGGGGGACTTACATGAATCTGGAAGCCTCTTATAAAATAAGGGGGCCACCAGATATCTGCCCCTACACGTGAAAAGCAAATAAATACACCAACAGTGTGACTTTATGTAAAAAAAATGTCCCATGGTATAAATCTATCATCAAAAACACAATGGCCCGCATGCAATGATCCTCCTCCTGCTGCACTCTCACCGCAACCGGCATCTTGTATATAAACAAGGCGGCCTGTAATGCTGGTTAACATCAATGGCCAAATATGATCATGACTAAATTTAGTCCATGACATACTGTATGTGAAACAAGTCTGTGGTCAGGGCCAGGAAGGTGTCATTTGGTGGTGGTGGTAGTAATATCGCCATAAATTGAATAAAAGACTCACGGAGAATAAACAAGACAAGTTTCTGAGTACTTGGGAACCTTGGATCCTTCACCATCACCCTGATATGGATCTAACTAGCGTCCGGGGTATCTAAGTGCACTGAATGGTATGGGCAGGCTAGGATCGATGGGAGTGTGGTGAGCTGACCCTCACAGTATAAGAACCAATTGGTGGCTAAATGTAGTGGTAACCCTTTTATTCAATTTATCAATCACAAGGATGTTGATACTGTCCTACTCTTGTTTCCTTCTCCTCTACTCTCTCTTTCTCTTTACTGCTCTGCAGTTAACCCTCTTCTGACCCTCAATATGACTTTATCCCTGGTTCACCTTTGGATAATGATACCCAATTCATCTATCCAGTATAATGGACCAACGCTCCTGGGTTTATGGATTTGGATAGCAATTGTACTCCTTGTGAGCTGCTTCTATATACCGACTGCTGTATGATTGTTATTCCCTTTCATGATACTGTATTCTTGGAGATGTCAGAACCGTTCTCTAATGTTAACATTTTGACAAAACTTTAATAAAAATATTGCAACAGAATAAAAGACTCACATAAAAATACGGGACAAACTGCATTCCATATTGAATCAATATTGGATGTGATATTTTACTAATCCAAGACAGTCCCTTATCATACGGGATGAGTGGCAATCCATGCAGTATCCCAGTGAACTAATTAAGGTATATTGACTAAGTTTTTACCGTTAGAACTGTGCTATTGACATGGTGAGATCCAGTGAGATCTAACAGAATAGAAAAGGAATCCTCACTGTAAGAACTACAAGGCTTTGTAATATTTACCAGGAAAAACACATGCAACTATAAATAATGTGTTGTATTGATCCAGGAAATGAATCCAAAGAGCAGTGATGACATCAAGATGAAATTTACTCGCACTGTATGGTTAAAATGGCAAACGGGTTTCACTTTGATGTTTTACATTCTGCTGTGTATTAGGTCTAAACTAAATTAAATCTGCATTTTGTCCAGGCAGTGAAGATTGCAGGCAACAGATTCAGTGAAATGCCAGCCCAATGTTATGCTTATACTAACTTTCCCTGTGCTCCACTCTGGTCCAATTGCCCACCACAGCAGAGGAATTCATCCTTGTGTAAGCACCAAGTTGGTCTGGTTGGAGCTTATGCAGCGCTAAGGACTCTCTCCAAACCCCCACCTGACAGCACTTGGATGTTCCAATTGGCTGCTCAGGCACCAAGGAAGGAGGAAAGTAGAAGGTCACATGTTCCCCCATACCCTGAAATATGGGAATATGCTGCTTTTCCTTCCAAAGTTTTACTTTAAGATGTAAAAAAAATGACCTTTATACACATTATTAATTACATTGCTATGAATGTCAATTAGATTTTCAGTATATCCGAGTACACATCCCTGGGGCTACAGAGTCAGCCACTGTAGGACAAGACTTTATATGCGATTTATGTTCGTCACCGCTAAAGGAAGACATGAAGTACAGAGTTCTTGGTGGTATGCATTATGCTTTAGGCACTAGACAATAACTTTAATATTTGTCTATAGCCAATGAAAAAAATCAAGTTAACCTATACATCGTGTACTCAGATAAACAGGTGGTTGAGTTAACAGATGCAAAGTCGTTGCGTATTCTCCAGGGACATTGTGTAACCCATCAGAATTGTCGCTTCCAGTCATATGCTGTATACGTCAGAGGTAAAGTCTTTTGTATTTATTGACCCTTTTATGTGTGCACTAAGTATAGAAATCGCCATTACACTTACATTACATCAGGTTACTCGCATGTGGGCAGGGCCGGATTTACTCTCTCTGCTGCCCCAAGGCCAGGTTACTCAATGCGCCCCCCGATAGAGAATGGCAGACCTGCAGGCTGCATGCAAGTGATCGCCGAGATCACTTGTACCAAACAAGCGGCGGCTTCCCTGCTGTACATTTAGCCCTGCTTGCCCAAAGCAGGGCTAATTGTAGAAAACGAACCCCAACCCCCCCGACACCCGGAACTGCATGTCCTGGGGATTGGGAGATAGGAATTCTATACCCCTGCTGCCCCGAGGCCGGGCCTTGGTTGGCCTTGTGGGAAATCCGGCCCTGCATGTGGGTCTTCTTTTTCAGACTGTCAGTGGCTTAGCACCTGCAGTGATAGTAATCTGAGGGGAAAGCATCTAATCAAGGGAAGAGATAACTAGAGTGGCTAACAAGTTTTACTGTTTAGTGAAATTGCATTTTATGACATGGCTAGTTAGTTTCCAGAACACACACAGGATTTTGTGCTAGAGGAAAACATGGTATGGAACATCATTTAACATGTGTATTTTTTTTCCCTTGTAGATGAATTAATTAACAGGATGAAAATAGGGGGAAGGTACAGAGTAATAGGAATTCCGGTATGTGGGCCTAATGGTGCTCAACTGTCTTTTTGCATAGAAGCAAATAATATTCATCAGTACATAGCAGAAAGTAAGTGCAGCACCTACTCTGATTACATTGTTTCATATTTCAAAATACTTTACAGTCATGCTTTTTATATCTTATATGTCAAACTACTACATGTAAAATGACTTCATCACTGACTGAGCAGATGAATAAAGAATGCTTTATATAACTAACATCAAATCCCCACTGATGACTTTAAATATCTTGTGATTACACCTTTCTCTTGGTGCTGCTGCCTTTTTCTTCTCCTCCAACCTCTCTACTGCTATAGTGAGACCATAGTTAACCGGGTGCTCAGGTGTAGAAATGTCTTCCTTTTACTTCCCAAGTGATATCCAGACAGATTCACTCATGAGGTATCTATTTAATACTGAAATATCAGTTCTCTGTGGCCCTTTCCTTTCCTCCTTTGTTCCTGGGTGAAATAGTAGCCTACACCTTGTAGTGATGTTTTTATATACTGATTTACCCACTAGGTTCTCTGACCATAAGCGAGGCACTTCAAGACCTTCATGCAAAGACCTTCGGTTCCCCATGGATTTTCACAGGAATACTTGCAAATATTTTTGCTTCACAAATTGTTCCGGTGGGGACTTACAACACACTGAAACTCTGCATACTACTCAGCCTTGTGCAAACATGTAACGAAGATGAAGATATTGGAAATACCCTCGACCTCTTGGTTGTGACAAGTGATACACTGATTGTGGAGAGGTATATTCATTAAAGCGTGTCTAAATACAAAAACCTGATATATATGTAGCTTACCAATTCTTTGGATCTGGTGGCTTCACTATTTAATGTTTCAAGTTTTTTTCTTTATTTTCAATTCATTCTGGCAGTAACACAATTCCCGTCCTAGGATAATAATGCGCACTCACAATTATGTTTCTGACAACAGAAACAGGATAGGACTGCATGACTCCATGCCTTTCTTTGTCTTTATAACATAGAGAGGTGTTGTTCTGTAGTCCCCAGAGACAGGGAACAATGTAGCTGAGAATAGTCAATAAAGGCAGTTATCAGCTCACACGGTTTCTGGCAAGATCACCAATGTTTTTGCTCTTATAACAAAGTCCTAAAATGTGGAATATAACATGGGTGCAAAAATTGAAAAAAGGGCCTCAGTCATGAAGGGGTTAATGGTATTTGTAACATACCACAAGGTACCAAATAAGAGATATTCATTGTTAGGGTTTACATACCCTTTAAAATGTACATTTGCAAATGTTAATTCCGTGCAAGGTAAAACCCAACTCTACCTTTTTGACATGTCTTATATTTTAAAGGGAATGTATGTTGTTTTTTTTATTTATTATGGTCAGATCATAATACCTAATACCTAAAAGAAGGAAAACCCCAATCCACTCCAGAGCTTTAGACCCATCTTCCTTCTTACCTCTGACCTAATGATATGCAGAAAGATTTTTGCATATTGGATCCACTGGTATCCATGTTAGACCATCCAGTACATGAAAGAGTTAACGATTACTGAACTGTGTCCGCACACTAGCCAGAACTGCAATGCTGGATGTCACCGTGGTATCTGATATAATAAGAAGGTTCTAAACAAACATTTTTTGTAAAGTGTATTGCTTATCTAACCATTCAAAATAAGTCTGTATCTCTTTAATAAAAACCTGGTGGCTGAGACCCCCACTCCTGGGCCAACTACCGCCCCATTTCCTTAATAAACGTTGACGTCAAGATGCTTTCCAAAATTCTCACTTCCCGTCTTAACCAATTTCTGGGATCCCTGATCAAAAAAGACCAGGTCGGCTTCATGCCCTCTAGACAGGCCGGGGACGGGGTCCGGCGTGTCCTTCACTTGATGCACTTAGCCAAATTATGCTCCAGAGAGATGATGTTGCTGTCCTCTTTGGCCTCGACCTCACGATACCCAGGCATCGGACCTGCTAAACCCTCCCCCGTGTTGCCCCATTACATGTTAATTTGGGCCTTATCCACTGAACCTGTACAGCAATAGCTCCTTCTAACTCCCAAATTGCACTCTGGCACTTGCCACATTGCTCCTGTCCTACAGCCTGCAGGGCTCTGCACGATGCTGTAGCTGTTTGTTTTCCGTTTGAATGCCTTATTAAAGGACTTGCATGCCCCACTTCTGTTCTTTTTGTAATCTTTTATATGAAAAACTGAAAAAAAACAAATAAAATCTTTGTGAAAGAAAAACCTGGTGGCATGATACTGGTATACATAGTGGACATACTCCATGTGGATTGCTCTTTTTTTCATAAAGTGTTACCTTGTAAATAAGCATAGGATACCAACCCTATTGATTTTGCATTTCCTTTTCCTTTACAAGTTACTTCACTGTTATTTGTTTGCATTGTACATGTATCCCATTCACAAAAATGAGGACAAAGTGTTACAATAAAAAAAGACAAGATGACATTTGTTTTTCAGACTGATGAGTTACAGTGTTAGCCTTCTACCACGTGGAGTCCGGCATACACCATTCTCTGACGTCTTTGCTACTGTAAGAAAAGATGAACATGGAACAGGGACTGCTATTATCCATGCTGGCAGTGCTTTAATGGCCAAAGGAGGTGTCTGCTTTATTGGAGATATAAATTCACATAAAAAGGACAAGCTTGACCATTTAAAGTCAGGTATCCATACAATAATCACATATAAATCCTTGTGACCCTCCATAATGAGCTGCTAATGGTGTTTTTTCCCCATAGTTTTGGAGAGTAGAAACACGGCTGTGTTCATACCCGGGAAGAAATATGGAGTAGATGTGGATCACCAGATATTTATTTCTCTTCAGTGTCATTTCTGGGCTTATGCAGATTCCTCTGCTAGGAAGTGCAATTCAAGGGAAAACACCTTTATTGGACAAATGGTAAGTGATATGAAGTCTGCAGAACACATACATGCATGATATGTAATAGGTTAAAATACACTGTGCAGTTATGAAAAATATTGCTTAATGTAATTTTCATACCTGTAGGCCTTGTGTGGCTCCCCTGAAACCTGACAGAGAAACTCCCGTATTTCTAGCAGTCCTGCATCCTGGCGAGTTGCTAGGATGCAACATGTGTTGAACATTCATCCCTGGTATCACAGGAGGGAACCCTCTCCCATATTCAAAAGCCCCACATACACACTGTGCTCTCCCTCCCCCCGTAGCAGCATTTAGGAGAAAAGGTTCAGGATATCCAAAAACAATAAAAATGTATCAGGCCCTCTTTATAGCAACAAAGTTGATAATGGATCTTATGTCTAAGTGGCTGCCTCCTAGTTACAGATGAATTCCTTTGTAAACAACTAACTGGTAGCCCTCAATTCTTCAGTAGCAGCCTCCCAATAATAATGGATCTATTAAGTACCTCTGCTGGTGGCTCTAGTTACTGCAGTAGCAGCCTCCTAATAATAACTAGCACTCACGTCCCAGGCAAGCAATTATAGATATCTTTCAGAGCTGAGAGATGAGGTCTCCATGAAAAATCCGGCAATAGCTTCCCCTAAGCTCTCCTGGACATACTTCCGCACAGCAGACTCCTCTGAAGAGAGGCCAGCTCAGATTCCTTGGACCCGGGCTCTGGTTTCTTCCTTTAGGCCAAGGGCCTGAGAGGCCAAGGCTGGACCTCTTTTACACAGATCTCCTGTAAGGATACATGGAATCACTCCCCTGTGAGACAAAGACCCTAATAGAAGGTCAGCCCAAATATTTATCTAATTCCCCAGCCTACATCACAGAAAATAAACCTCTCAGTAATTAGCCAAGCCAGAAAAAATATTCATAACCCAATACATTGTTACTTATCACTGTCTGCTGGATAACACTCTCCAATAGCAGACAGAAGCAATCAATATCCTGGGCTTAGGAGAAATCCAATGAACACAGATAAGGTAAATAAACAAAGCTCAGGCTGGCTACAACTTAGCTGCAAACCCTAAAATTGAACGCCTAGGTGTGAACTGGTACTTAAAGGGCAACCTTGTGTATTCATTTGTAGAATCTTTATCCAGTGGATACATTTGTAAATCTGTTTTCTGGTTACTCTGAGTACCTAAAATGCATTCACTTAAACATGTTCATGACTTATTTAGGATTTAGGTATGATACCAGTCAGCCTCATGGATGCATTTGGAATGTTGGTTTACTGCAATGAGTCATCTCATAGCAACCCAACTGTGCCGCTTGTACATCACAGCCTGCTAAGAGCAGTAAGACCTGGATCACCACTCTGCCCTGCATCGGAGCAGTTCACAACACAAGACTTTGAAGAGGTAGCTATCACAGAATCAACATGTATTCTGTACATCTATCATTTTTAAACATTACTACTACTCTTATTTATAACAGATGTTTGATGTCACAACATAAAAGTAATGGTCTCTACGAAGAGAAATAAAACACACAAATGACTTTTTTCCTGTTGGAGGTTAAAAAAGTCTAAATTGACTACATATGATGATGACTGGGTCCTGCACATACAAGCCACTAGCCCCATTGAAGAGATTCCCCTTTACTTTGTCTCCTGTCCCCTAAACTTAAAAGTTATGTTGCAATTGAGTTTTGAAAGCGTTTGATCTATTAATTGCCATTGGATGAGATTTGAAACAGGAAGACGCAAAGGTAAATTCCAATTTTAGCTCTTTGATCTTGGATTGTCTTTTTTTTCTTGGGGAGCTTATGAGTATAAGGTATCTCCCCTTGGGGTCTCTTAGTTCTCATTTATAAGTAAACTGCAAAGAACGTCCACAAGTATTAAGAATTGAGGAGGTTGTGGCCAAGTAATATAAACATAGACTGCACTGGGCTATTCAATAAATACATAAAATGACTGTGGTCAAGTAATGCTGTGAAAAAATAGAGCTCAGGTATTTTTGGAGCAGAATGATGGGTGAGTCTGGTCAGAGCTCAGTGGATGCAATCCATGTCCAAACGTTCTATTGGGAGCTCAGTGGCCAACTCTATGACTTTAAAAGTCCACTATGGTCTCTAGAAGGCCCCACAGGTTGTAATTGGAGCGGCGTTCATGTGATCCTTTTTGTGATCTTGTAACTGTGAATGCAGGATAATGCTCTCATTTTTAAGGGTTTTCATGTCCTCTTCGTGCCCCTCTAAAATCCTAGTAATGTCATGTCATCAGGACTTACCAATGCTCCCAATTTCTCTAGTTAGCTGATCCAACAATTTCTTTGATCAGACATTTTGTCTATGGCATGGAAACAGAAACGTTCTCGTAGAAACGGTCAACGTACAGTATCTATGTTGATGTGAAGATTCTCCTCTGTTGGGTGCTGTGTTGTACATTATCATTTTGTCTATGGCCTTCTAAAGCATAGTCTTGAAATGGTTTAGGATATCAGAGGGGGTCCATGACAATTGCTGAACGTTCAAGGTGTTGCAGCTCAGGGGACTTGTCAGAGATATGGTGTGGATATGAGTGCTGTGAGGTGGAGGCTGCAGACACCATCTTGCCAGCTGTGAGGTATACGTGAGACAGAGTGCAAGCCAAGGGTTAAACACAGAAACAATCCTGCAGCTCTGCCAGGTGCAGCACACGGAAAGCTTGCCAACCTCAAACATGACAAAACAAAAAAGAGAGGAAGTTAGCACAGCATGGAGTCAGGGCCGGATTTACTCCCCCTTCCACAATACGCCCCCCCGCGCCGCCAAGCCCCCCTCCTCATCAATTGAGAATGGCAACCAGATGGCACGGCGAGGGGGGCCGTATTGTGGAACCTGGCCTTCGGGCGGGGCTAGTTTCAATTTTTTTTTACTGTTTCTTTATCGGACAACTTACACCGGCGCCCGCAACTTCCCCACAAGGTCACCGCTGCCGCCCCTCTGCGCTCTGCCGCCCCGAGGCCGGGCCTCGGTGGCCTTGTGGGAAATCCGGGCCTGCATGGAGTAAGATCTGGTGTGGTACACCGTGCAGGTACAATCTACTGCCTGGAATGTCAGTCATCCTGGCGGTCCCTAGCATTGCCCCCGGCCTTTGCTTATACTTTCCATACTCAGCTGTGTACACTGTACCTTTATCTCCTGGGTACATGAGAATACATAAATTGTTCCTATAAAAGGTTGTTTTTATTGTGCAAGATCATTGCACTCTCTTTTTTTCTGTCACATCTATAGGATGGTTCTTACAGGAGACATTTTGTTTTTTAATGTCTAAATATGGTACCAGTGACATCATTACTACTTTGTCTAAATCATTTTCTGTGTTTTACTTGTGTAGCTTATTTCTTATGCAAAGAGTTTAAAGGTGACCTTTAGCTCCAGAGCCGAAACATTACTCCAAGGTTACTATTTGGCAAGCAGAAGGATGAGAACAGACAGTAATGGATCTAAAATATCAGCATCCGCGCTGAGACATTTGTGAGTATGAGAACTTATATCATAAGCATCAGGCGGTACACTGAACATACATGTACACGTAGAACAAGGAGTGCTCATTGCAAAGAGGGAACATAACAGGGTCAATATCAATAATTCTTCATCAGGTTCTACTGCCTGTCTACCTCATACATTTACAATACATCTTTTCTAGGTCTTCAATATCAGAAGCACACACAAAGTTAAGTTTGAGAAAGGAAGTGACAGAAGAAGATGCTTTGGTTGCCATTTTAATTTTCGAAGTTTCTCTTACCCTAAAACATGGTAAATATATTTTTTTTTCCTGCAAGCTATATATATATATATTTATAGTATTATTCCTATATGTTGTCCACTGTTACGTTACTGCTTAATATCAAACTTTAAAAAAAAAAATGTCATATATTGCAGTTTTCCAGATGTGGTGGCTGCATTTTTCAGACTTTTATTTTTATTTTCACCTAGTAATTCTCCATACAACACTCTTTCCGACCTTTCATGGCTACAATCATTTCTCCTCTATATCTATGGAGGCAGCCATGGTGGTCACACACGCTGGACTTCAAACGTGTTGGTTAATTATGTCTGCATTACATTGGAGTGGATTTATGGGACTAAAAATGTACAAAAGATAAAACAGTTTTTGCTACCTTTTCAGCTCCAAGGAAGTGCTTGCTGAAAAATGAAAACTAATGCAGCCATCACATGCAAGGACTGATAAACTACAATATACTGTATTACATTTTTGTCTCTGGGTTTAGATAACTCTTTCATCTACTGAAAGACACTTATAGGTCTGTGGAGGAGTCAGAGACTCAATGGGATGCATTCATAAAAGATCAGCCCAGCGTATTCCGTGCGCAAGGCACAAGCATTTCCTATACTTAACAGCACCATGTGGGGGGCACAAGTGCCTTGCGACAGTTTAAGAATGAACACCTTTGTGTGTCAGGCAGTATGAAGCCTTCTCTTGATTTCTTGGCAGTGTCTGTACATAAGGTTGAAGAGCTTTTATGAAATGTAAATGTTTGAAGTGTTCCCTGTTGTCTTACTATATATTGACCATATTGTCTTACGTTCAAAGACCCATTGTCACCATGGGAATGATCCATTTGAAATTGGGCTCTGTCATGCAACTTTATCATTAACATATTTAACATTTTATACAGACATTGGACCACGGAATGTTGTCTAAGCTTAGATTGAAGCTCACACATGTTCCAATCTGATTGTACAATCTCCTTTCCAACAAGTGTGTAGTATAAGGGCCCACCTGACTGTAAACAGATTAAGTCCTCATATCACATAGTTTGGGTAGATCTAAAGTTGATTGTACAGAGATTGTATAAGTAGATTGTAGTTTGTGTGGTGACCCTTACACCTATGCATTGTTTTTCCCCTGAAGCATTTCAAATTCAAGGTTTGTCATATCAGCTCTCAGAGACCACTAACAAGTCATGATTTCCAGACCTCTTCATCAAATCACAGGTGGAATTATTAGGGTCCTTGTTTGATGGCCCCTCTACACCATAGTGCACTGCTACATGCTTTTTCATGTGTTGAGGCACACTGCACGAAGGTAGCCTATCTATTCTGAATTTCTGTCATTGCCACCAGGACACGAGTTATAGGAAATCTAAAGCATTACAGTTGTCACTGGAACAGGAATAGAGGGGAAATATTTCAATGGGGGCACCTGTTTCAGTGACAGCTGACTAAGAGGGGATTTCCCTTCTCTTTGGCAAGAATTCCTCTCACTACCTGTAGTGTGTCAGGGATAGGGGACAGTAAGTGAAGAGACATTTTCATAATAGGACACAGACAGCAAAAGAAAAAGCATGAAAGTGGTTTCTCCCATTCCCTACTCTGTCCAAAGCTAAAAAAAAACACATACATATACACAGTTGTCTAAGGCTCTGTTCACACCTAGGCGTATCGAATAAGCACGTTTGTCGCGTGCGTTTTTACCGCGATTCGCAGTAAAAAACAACACGCGACAAATGCGCGTTTCCGAGGGCTACTTGGCTGTATCCCAATGGAAACACGCAACAAAAACGCTGCAAAGCTCATGTACCTTTTCAGGCGTAGGCCGCTTTGTAGCGCTTTCAGACGGGGGATTTTCATGTTTGAGCGTTTTGTAGAGCGTTGAACACGCTACAAAACGTACAGGTGTGAACCAGGCCTAAAGGCAAAACATTCTATTCCGTAATAAATCATCCTTCAGAATAGCTGCACTGATGCACCATTTGACAGATCTGTATCAGATCTGTACCCAACTCCCAAACACTTGATTTTCTGGCTTTCCCACCATGTATCCACTGCAGAGTGCAGACTAATCCAGAATCAATGTAGCATCTCTGGTTTCCAGGTAATAGAGCGGAAAACTTTCATTGGGTGGCTTTTCAAGCTCCCGTTTGAAATAAAGTACCCAGCGTGCAGATTTGGATTAATTTCATGATTTTTGTTTTAAGTGAAGCTACGAAACTGACTTAGACCTCTGTTTATCATGCAGGCAGCTCTGTGTTCTCTGTATCCCATAATCCTCTCTTTCCAGTTGAGCTAGTGGATGAGAGTAGTTTGTGTCAGAGAGATAAATACCTGAGAGAATGCCAACATCAGCTCCTACAGTTTATTATGACATATGGACCCGGAGCAGCCGTTTCTATCTCTGAAGAATAAGTTATAACTTTCACAAAGGAAATTGCCCCTAAAATGCAGGAAGTGTTTCCATTAATGTCATTTACTACTGATCTTTTCACCAATAAAACTCATACAATACTGTCCAGTTATGCGTTTCTGGGGGAAGTGAGGACAGGAGGACAAACAATCCTAGTTGCAACTCTTCCCTTCAAGTGGGTCTAGCATCAGCCTTTTTTGAAGGATATTGACATCATAAAGAGTACGTTTTCAGCATGGTCAGCAACTGGAATGCACTGTGTCACATCCCGGCTGACTGTTAAATATGGTCTAAACACATTTGTAAGGTTTTTTTAAGGCACTAAATCCAGCAGACGCCAAATGTCTCTTGCAGGATTTAAGACACCTCACCATCGAATACATCAAAAAAGACATACAACGGTAAAAGAGCCCACCTCCTCCCACAACAAACACCACCCCCTACTGCCCCATGAAGAGACAAAAACACATGGAGCAACATTGGCCCTGCATACATTTACATGCACTATACTGGAACCCAGCAATAAAGGACACGTGGTAGCTGAAGCCACCTAATGGCCACTGAAAAATGGTGACCATTGCAAGATATTAGTGCAACTGTTTTATCAATCCCAAATGTTCAGTACAACACACATTTAGTGCACGAGTTCTAAACCATAAAGGCAGACACTGAATACGTCACGCTTCAAAATCCCATCTGCCCGTAAAGTGTCTGTCACCTTTGGAGGCCCATGTGTGCTTGATTAGCTTCTTCCCCTAGCCTCTGTGGGCAGGAAATAACAGCTCAGAAGCGACAATCATTACTGCTTCCAGGTTCATTCGGCAGGGAGATCAGCAAATGGATGTCTCCTTACCCTCTTATTGCACCTGCCATGCCAAACCTTGACCCACAGGAGCGGTAGCAGAGCCTAGGATACATGAAAGGGGGTTCAGCACACAAATTTGACTTGCAGTGTAAAGATGAGTCACTAAGAGAAACCCTCCACGTTATTCTAGCTCAGAACACTGGAATGAGAACCTTTGTATTCCTATTTTAGTACTGTAATATCTGCAAGAAGCCAGATAATTTAATTGTATATTTTCTAGGGATGCACCGATATAAATCGGCCACCCGAAACATATCGGCCAAAAATGGCACTTTGGGCAAAATGCCAATAGTGCCATTTTTCTGCCAATATAGTGGCGTATCAGTTCTCTCTCCTCTCCCCCACTGGGTGCTGCTCCATGTACCAGTGGGGAGGAGAGAAACTGTCACAGGGGGTCGAGCGCTGCGGGAGGAGAGTCCTGAGAGCGGTGGGTGGGGGGAAGACACAGCCAGCGCCGTCACAGGAGGCTGGCGGCACAGGGGAGGAGTCAGCTGTCAGATCAAACTCTCCTCCCCGCACTGCTCGCTCAGCCTCCTGTGAGCCTGTCAGGTAGGAGAGAGCGGTACATTTAGCGATCACTGAGTGCTTGTAAATAATTGAGGACATGGTATGGTTACTGTGTCGCAAATTATGAATGAGAAGTGATATACATCACTTCCTGTTCATTCATGATTGTGGTTATAGTAAAACATACTGCACTCATGTTCTCAATGAACAGGAACACGCACAGTATGGAGCCTTCCGGTTCATTCATAATGCGATGAGAACACAGAGTCCTCATTTTCTTTTTAAAAAGGAATTAGGGGTCTGTTTAGACCTCTATTTCCATAAAGCATCTAAAAGTAAATTAAATAAAATATTTTAAAAAGTTAGAAAAACAAACATTTGACCCGACATTTTTCTTTTTGGTTTTAAAATTTCCACTTTGGTGCACCTCTAATATTTTCAGTTTATTTTACTACCAAGACAATGTAAATGGATAGAAAGGATTCCTCTGCATGTTCCAAATGTCAAGATGGGGATAGGCTTTATATAATCCAGAAATGTCTTATTAGATACTTATGGTGACAGGTTACAGAATTTCTCTCAATATCCGCAGTGTCAACCAACCCTCTTACCCATCACTTTCATTTTACATACATTGTTCCTGTCAAGTCCATACACACTAGTATTCTAGTTCCCTCTGCCAATCAGAACCAACAAACTGGCACCCACAAATATGATGGAAACAGCGTTTATTGGTTTCCAATCAGTTTATGCAAGCTTTGTTTTATGTAAAAAAAAAAGTAAATGCTCTGCTCCTTAGCCACAAGATTACAAGTTTTTCGATATCCAACTCATATTAACTTTTACCTGTGAAATTGAAATGCTACCATTAAAAAAATACTAGACTGCTCAGATAAAGACATCAGAAATGGCAAAGATATCAGGGAGTCAAATATTACAAGGATAGCTAGAACGAACATGGGCATACAGCCTTCATAACCCACAAGGGACCAAGTTACCCACCCACTGCCAGATTTTATTTTTATTGGGCCCATTTAGTAAAGCAATACAGCCATCTACTGTAGCCATTTATAAATATATGAATTTCAATATCAGCAGTTAGGAGTGAGAATGTGTTCCGCACCCCAATAAACATTCAAAGGTCAAGCAATCATTTACCACTCCCAGATATGCAGACATAGGAGAGAGGGGGGGCTTTAAAAGAAACTTTGTTGTCACTACAGGATTAGCAAAATATTAAAACATGTTTTTTATTATGAATTCAAAATAATCAGTTTGCAGCAATACAAACAAAAGACATGAATACATACAGCTGGTAAAAGTCCATATGTCATACAATAGATTATGTTGCAATGGTCTATTTTTTTGTAGATGCATTGAGAGATGAGCTTCTCTAGGGGCCTCAACATGTTTCACCACTTAGCAGCTTCCTCAGGACCTCAAACTTAGAAAGCTGCAACATTATGGACCAAACAGCAAAATAAGCTAAATATCGGAGGTTGAAAAAAAAAAAAACCCTGAGGTGGAGGGGCCATGGAGAGCAGAAAAGGCAAATCCAGACCACCCTTTATATGGGGAGGACTGCACTTCATCCATTAGCTGCCTCTGATGTCATGACTTAAATATATCTCCACTTCCTGCCCCAATTCCATATCTTTCAGTATGGTGGTTATTTAATCTCCACCATCTTTCACTAGCCTCATTTTCCCAGACTTCTGGTGTCTGGATGTTCAGCTGCATCTTCATTATATACTGTGCACTCTTCTGTATTAGACTTTCCGAGTAGTCGCTGCAACCCGAATGTAATACTTCCATTTGCCTCACAATTTCCTCTATTGCTGCATTTGAAGATACCTTAAAAAATAAAAAAAAGGAATAAGTTTTAAATAAAAGTTACAAGATATGAACAGTGACAGTATCAAAAATAGACTAGACTCTTCAGATATTTAAAAGGTATCAACATCTACTATTCAGATGGGTAAACGGCAAAGTTATATCATCATGGAGTCAAATACAAAATGAGCATCTCTAAAGAGCATAACCAAACTTCATAACCCACCATGGAACCAACTACTGGCCCACTGACAGATTTCATTTTATTGGTCCCATTTTATAAAGCAATACAGCCAACAACTGTATCCATTTTTGATATACCTTAGTAGCTTCCGTTCTCAATTCTACATCTTTTTCTGTATGGTGGTTCTTTAATCCCCGCCTTATACCATCATTCTATTTCCCCCAGACTTCTGCTTCTGGTGTCCGAATGCAGCTTCATTGTATGCCGTGCACTCTCCTATATTATGCTTCTTAAATAGTTGCTGCAACTGGGATGTAATACTTCCACTTGCCTCAGAATTTCCTCTATTGCTGCAATTGGAGAACATACCTATAAAAAAATATTAAAAATATTTATAAAAGTTACAAGACCTGAACTATAAGTTTATCATAAAAATAGATTTCTCAGATATTTGGGGTATCAGCATTTACCATTCAGATGGGTAAACGGCAAAGTTATATCATCATGGAATCAAATACAAAAAAGGCATCTCTAGAGGATCACAATAATACAGCCTAGCTCCAACCAACCCACAAAGGACCCAGGTTCTTGCCCACTGCCAGATATCACTGGTACCATTTCATAAAGTAATACACCAAAGTGCAGAAGTCCATTGTATATTTTATAAATCTACCTCAGTAGCTTCCTGTCCCAGACCAGCTTTTTCAGAATGTTTTTTTTTAGCCTCCACCATCATTCACTATCCTCATTGTTCAAGACTTCTGGTGCCGCAGCTTCACTAGTGCCGCAGCTTCACTATACATGGTGCGCTCTTCATTAGGCTTTTTATAACTAGTTCTGACAACTGGGATCCAATACTTGCATTTGCTTTAGAATTTCACCTATTGCTGTATTTGAAGATGACATACCTGAAAAACAGAGAAATAATGTTTTTATAATACAACTTGCATACAAGATATGAACTATACCCAACAGTTTATCATAAACACAGACAGACTCTTCAGATATTTGGGGTATCAGCATTTACCAGTCAGATGGGTAAACGGCAAAGTTATATCATCATGGAGTCATAAATATAAAATACGAATTGTACCAGAGTTTCAGCACAGAGTATTGTCGCTGGATGCATCTATCCTGAACCGCAGGTAACTGTACAATGTACGGACACATGGACTGTTGCCAACACATTCAGCTGCCGTCACCCTGTCATTAATGTGAATCGGTACAGCGGCCACATCTGAACGGGGACACTTGGCATTCCTGCTGCAAGAACCTAGGTATCCCAGAATGCAGCACAAGTCCCATGTGAAGATCGTAATCAGAGTGTGGAAGGGTTAGAACACCCGTCAGGTTTTACACACATTTTTGGTTTCCCCCAGAGGACCATTTTCTATCAGAATTAAAATGCCATCCGATTTATCTTGTGCTTGTTCTAGGAAAATCTTGGGGAATCTCCTTATAGGGACATGGTAACAGCTAATTTCTAGAAATGTGTTTATTGCTGCCCAAGTCTTTAAATTTGTATGAAAGATGGGCTGCTGTATTTTTCAGGGTTCAGGTAACAGAACAGCTAAAAAAGCCACCTTCACACCGAGCCCAAAATACAGAGCAGC